TTTTAGGGGCTGGGGATTTAGTTCAGCAGCATAAGCACCTGCCTTGCAAGTGCATGGTCGTGAGTTCGATCCCTGGTACTGATTAAAAAAAGAAAAAAAAAGAATAAATATTTTTGTAAGAAACGGGGAGGATTAGGGTGTAGCTCAATGATAGAATCCTTGCCTGGCATGCACAAAACCCTGGATTCACATCAGCACAACAAAAAATAAAGAAAGGAGACAGAGAAGAAGTAGGAAAAATACAGTTATAGACTTACTTTCCCATAAAATGAAGCACAAAAGGGTACTCACAAAATGATTTAAGAAGTTACTTATAACGAGTGGCATACATTTATAATCCCAGTTGCCCAAGAGGCTAAGCCTGTTACAAAGTTCCAGGCCCCCTGAGGCAATGTAGCATTCCCAGCCTCAAACACAATGAATAAATAAAGTCTGAGGGTGTAGCATGGTGGCAGAGGACCCCTGGGTTCAGCCCCAGTGTCCCATACCCAAAGAAAAAGTTATCTATAGACAGGAGAGGGGAGGGAGAGGGCAGCAAGGCTTCTGACTGTATCTTACTGCAGAGCATTAGCGTTAGCATCATATTAAACATCTGATGCTTTATGTACTCAGCAACAAAGAAGAAAGAGAAATAAGGCCTAATTTTTTGAAACCAATCCCCCTTCTTTATATCATGTTAGTAACACACTGTCTTAGTTACTCTTCTATCATTGCTGAGTTAAAATACCTGACACTTGAAATTAAGTAGGGAAAGATTTGTTGAGCTCACAGTCTGTGGAGGTTTCAGTGCACAGGCAGCTGGCTCCGTGGCAGGGTGGCCTGGCACAGGGGCAACACTTCAGGAAGGCAGAAGACAGCACAGCGACAAGAGCAAAGAGGGGAGAACAAGTGTCTTTTCCTCCCTTACACTGTAAGCAGGTCCCACTGCCCACCTCCCTCCACCCCTGTGCCCCAGCAGGGGTGTAGCAGTCACACCGTCTCCTGCCCTCCTCTTGCACAGCCTCAGGATGTCTGCAAAGTCAGGATCCTGCCTCCCTGCTGAGTGACTTACTTAAATTTCTAAACTTCTCAGGTTGATGCAATATGTCAACCATAACACACACCACAGATAGCCTTCTCAAGTAATTTTAAAACATAGTGTTTAGAAGACAGTATAATCTCAAGATAAAAATGTTAATTTTACATTTTATCCAGTATGTAATATGAATGCAACTATTTTGAAAGTTAATCTACTCTAAGACAAACCAAGTTATTAAGAACAAAAATTCTAATGTAAAAGAGAAAAAAGTAGAAGAAATGTAATGCCTAGAATGTTAAATTAAAATGAAAATAAACATCCCAGGTCCATGAAATTAATAAACCATATGAGGGAAACCAAGCTAAAATATCGCATGGTTTCCCTCGTAGATAGACCCAAAATATAAAGAGCAAAATAAGAAACCAATAATAGGAAGTAGGGAGACAGATCTTCCTCAGATGGCGAGGGAATCAAGAGATGGAGGAGGAGAAGGGAATGCAGGGGAATTAAGATGTTTTATGTACATGTATGGACTCCACATACGGAATGTAAAGATTGTGTACTACTGACGTGTACTAAGATAGATGCATAGACAGACAGATAAGTAAGTAGGTAGGTAAGCAGGTAAGTAGATAAGTAGGGGCATTTCTCTTCTGCCTCTGAAGGCTTAGAAGCAAGGCCAGCCGAGCAGTCATAAGCATCTCAAGCACCCAGATACCTTCCACCAGGGTAAAGAACCCAACTGCTTAGACAAATGACTAAATCCATGTTTGAAGCAAGAAATATTCAAGATAAGCATAGAACACTTTTATTATGCAAAGAAACACCAAGTTGATGAATATTTCTGTGGTCATCTTAAAAACAAAAAACAGACTGAGCATAGCTCAGTGGTAGCATACTTTTCCATCATGCATAAACCCCTGGGAATAATCTCCAGTGGTGCAAAACCAAAAATTTAAAAAACAGTGTGAAAGGTTATAAAAGTCCTGGGCTTCATTGTAATAATTAAAAGAATTGTGAAAGAGAAAAAAATGCTGAAATGAATACTTATAATTCTTTTTTTTTAATCGGTACCGGGGATTGAACTCACGACTGTGCATTTGCAAGGCAGGTGCTTATGCCGCTGAGCTAAATCCCCAGCCCTACTTAGAAATCATAATAGTTATCATTGGAAATAGTGTGTCAAATCCTTAATTTGAAAGTTGGTGTTTATAAAAAAGAATTTAGCATTAGTCACTTCCCCTACCCATTCAGGTGGTATTTCAGAATAACTAATCCCAGTTGACAAGGGAAAATTCCCTGCAGGAGACAGTTATACAATAATTATGGTAGGAATCAAAAAAATTAGGAAAGCACAACTTGCAATCCTTAATGAAATTACTGACTCATGTCGGGACCACTAGTGGGTACTAAAACTAAAGTTCTCAAAGCGTGGTCCTTAGGGCAACATCTCAAGAATACCTGAATACTTCCTTAAAAAAATACAGGTTCTTGGAACTCCAACATCTGTTCTATCAGAACCTCTAAGGATAGATCCCAACAGTCTAGAGCTAGCAAGTCGTCCAAGGGTTCAGTGCATGCGCAGGGGAGTTTGAGAACTGTGCTAGGAGCAGAAAGACTGGTGAGAATCCTGCCGTGAGTGGACAAGCTTTCACTTGCTGGCAGAACTCCCTAAGTGAGCTAAACACTCCTGAGAGCAGGAGACCCAGACGGTACGTTCTTCCTGATAAATGCAGCCATGACATATTCTTGCCGCCCTCCCCATCAGCCTGTGACTCTGTTCAATCCTTTACATGTGAGTTCCAGTTTGTAGGCACTGTGAGGCCTTAAAGGGTAAGTAAAACTATATCCTGAGGAAGCAGAGAACAAATCTAGAGCATAGGACAAGTAACCTCGTGTGTTTAATCAGTGGCTGGAAGAGGAGGAAGAGTGGAGAGCAGGGGAGGTATTCATAAAGTACAAGGACAGCAAAGACAAAATACGCATCCTGTTTGGATCCTGATTCACATAAAGCCCCTGGGGCTATTTCAATTTACACGGTACTAAATGGTGTTAAATAATTGTTGATTTGGTGAGGCGCAATGATTTTATAGCTATATAGAAAATGACTTTTTCAGTGATATACACAAAGTATTTCGGGTGAAATATAATATCAAGGTTGGGTGTGTGTTACTACAGAAAAAGAAAAGCATAAATTGAAGCAAGTTGGACAAAATGTTGATAACTTCAGGCCAAGCATGATGGGTGACACCTGTAACCCCAGCTATCTGCGAGGATGATGCAGGAAAGTCAAAGGTTCAAGCCCAGCCTCAGCAATTTAGCAAGGCCCTGTCAAAAAATAAAAACTAAAAAAGGTGCCAGACTTGTAGGTCAGCGTAAAGGCGCTGAAATTCCCTCCCAAAAAATGTCAATAGCTTTAGAACCTGAAAGGCTTGTTATCCATTTTTTTTTTATCCGTACCAGGGATCAAACTCACAACTACCTGCTTGCCGCTAAGCTAAATCCGAAGCCCCTGTTATCTTATTTTTATGGAGGCTGGAAACTCATAAAATTAAGAATATTTACAAGGATATCTACAAAATGATACATTTATTACGGTGTATTCATTCTTATACTAAGCTTTATTACAATTTGTTATTTACCTGTTTACTTGTTTACACTAGTAATGCTCAAACCATTGATGTTGAGTTTAAACTGGCCATTTGGTTGCAGACCATGATTTTAAAAATAAACAAATAAATAAAATACAGTAAAAATCAATTACCAGAAAAGCAAAATGATGTGGAGGTATGCAAATAGAAATCACAAAAGATATTATTAAAGTCAACAAGTATAAAATTATATTTCACTTAATAGTCAGTACAAACATAGAAAAAGGAATTTTTTAAAACTTTACACTCATAAGTTTGTTCTGTAGTCAGTTAAAATTTTTAATGAGAAACATGGATGTGCTCATTTGCATGTTAACCTGAGGACCCTACGATATGTTAACTTGCACTGGATTGGCTGCCTGAGGACCCTGTGATGTGTTAAATTGCCGTTGGTTGGCTGTACTGAGGACCCTACATGTGTTAGCTTGCACTGAATTCCAGTATTGTTTTGTTTTGTTCCAATTTATTGTTTTGTTTTATTCAGTACTCTATTTTGATTTGTTTTATTCTGTTTTGTTTTATTCAATTTTACTCTGTCTGAGGAAATGGACAACTACTGTGAAGATAACAAGATCTATTATGGTAGCCATTGTTGATGACCTGTTGTCTGTGTTTAAAGTTCTGTACCTCGTCTACTGCTTTGTTTTGATTGGCTTTATTCTGTTTTGTATTGTTGGGTTATAGTCTCCTTGAAATAAATAAATAAAATAAAAAAGGATGGGACATAGCTTATTAGTAGACTGTGCTTGGTTAGCACACTTGAGGTCCCAGGTTCAGTCCCATACTGGGGAAAAAAAAATACAAGAGCCTAGCATGAACCCCACCCACTCCCCCACTGGGGATTGAACCCAGATCCTTCGTACTGAACTACTTCTCTGGCATTTTGTTTTGGTGGTAATGGGTTTTATATGTGTGCAGCACTGGGGAGCAACCCAGGACCTTGACACTGAGCAATATCCCTTCCCCCCACTACTAGTCTGGACTTGAACTTCAAATCCTCCTGCTTCAGCCCTTTGAGTAGCTGGGATTTCAGGAGTGTACCGACACACCCAATTTGAAAATCATTTTAAATGAGCTATGATTTTTGAGCCATTTTCTATTACCTGATCTTGGGTTCTTACTATTTATCTGGACTTTAGTGAGGTATGAGTGGACTTTTACTTCTCCCAAAGCAAGAAACTTAGAAAATTGCGTATCATTTGAACATCAACTGTTCACTTAAAAAAAAAAAAAAAAAAAAACTGGTAAAGGTAACAAAAGAAAAAGTCCTAAAGGTTGATACTGGGGTTATCTTACTGGGGAATAATCTTAAGTCTTCTCTTCTTTTATAGACTACCTTGCTAACCATGGCCGGTTAAATGAGTCTGAAGCCAGGAGGAAATTCTGGCAAATCCTTTCTGCTGTTGATTATTGTCATGGTCGGAAGGTTGTGCACCGTGACCTCAAGGCTGAAAATCTTCTGCTGGATAACAACATGAATATCAAAATAGCAGGTAACCGGAGTGCAGCTGACTCTGAAATCATTAGGCATGAGCCTTTGCATGAGCCTGGGCATGCAGAGTCAGCTCTGCAGATTCAGGAGCGTTTCTTCCTGATGAAGTCGCGTTTTCTCAAGTATCCTTTATTCGTCTCTTTTGTCTCATGTGTAATTGCAACTGGGGGAATGAATTCACTGTTAGAGACAAGGTGGCAGAGCTGCAGCTGGGCTCTGTTGAAGGAGGTCCCTGTGCCTGAGTGCGAGAGATGTCAGGACTGAGAAGTGTGCAGGCTGCTGGCTGGCGGTCTCGCCTCCCTGTCCGCATTGTGACTGGTGGCTGCAGTGCGGTTACAGGCGGAAAGAAACACGGTGATGGGAGCAGAATGAAGACCTTGCCTTGCCTTGATATAATAGTTTTGGTTTATGTTATAGAGATGAAGGGTAGAGATTATTTTGCTTGTTTTGCTCCCATTCTTTTTTTTTTTAATTTTAAAGAATAAAAACAAGCAAAATAAAGCAGAACAAAACCAATCATGACAAACCAGTGGTGACACAGGACTTCAAAAACAGTACAAAGTCAGCAATGATTACCATAATACCTCTTGTGGTCTTCAAAACAGCTGTAATACCTTCAGACATAGTAGAAATCAAACAAAACAGAACAGAGTAAAACCAATAAAAACAAAACAATACAAATAAAGGACTTCAAAACAAGATAATAGTAAATCCAAAATAACTATTATAATATTTCTTACTATCTTTGAAATAGCTGTCTATGCCATCAGATACAACAAAATCAAAGAAAACAAAACAGAATAAAACCCAACCCAACAAAACAATGAAAATGATACAGGACTTCAAAACAAGATAATAGGGAATTAACAGTGGCTACCACCTTCAGGAGGAGATCCCCATAGAGGCCACACTGTGTATCATTATGCTCTGAATAGATGATCAGACCACCAGCCCTAGACCTGCAGAGTCAGTGAAACACCCAACACCACAAGCATCAAATTGCTCTTCACCTCAGTAGCTATCTTTGCGGGCTGTGTTCCTCCTGATCAGCAGGTCTCTTAGAGGCAAGAGGGGCGCTGGCTGTTCCTGTTTCTCAGCCAGCGCGCCAGAAGGGGCCGGGGTCCGGCTGTCCCCTGGCAGTGACAGCCCGCGCTTGGTGTGTTTTACAGAGGGGAACTTGCTTCTTGTTGATCTCTTGTTTCTCCCATTCTTTTTAACAATTATAAAAGTTTCCATGTTTTTCTCTTCAAAGATTCTTTACTCCCATAATCAAAACTCTGTTCAGTAAACATTGTCAGTATTGTGCCGTGCCCAGTGCAGTATGGTATAGAAGTCATGTCATAGTGTCTGTGTGTGTCAAATCATCATTTGTACACATTAAGGATATATAATTTTATTTGCCAATTATACCTTAATAAAATAATAATGGCCATCACAAAGGTATGTTGAAATCTAAGAATGCAGCTCTATGCAAAGCAGCATGAGACTTGCTACCCTGAAGGCCTGTACGAGGGGTGTGGCTCAGTGGTAGAGCACAGCCCTGGACTTGATGCCCTCGCACCCCAGAAAACTGGGGGAGGACATGAACTACAGAGGTGACCTAAGCGGGGGAACCTTAATCTTCCCGAAGAGTGGGGGAATGTCAGAAAAGAGCAGCTATTCCAGCGGAGTCTTGCTGGGATTTAAGTAGAAGTAGACAGACAGACGGAGATTAGAGTGGTAGAAACCATTCCAGTGTTGGTTAAATGTAGAATCGTAGGCATGACGGAGGCAGAAGAGGAACAGGGAGGAGCAGAATGTGAAGGGTCTTCCATGCCATGTAGATTTTACACTTTATTCTCTAGGGAACAGAAACCTAGCGTATTAAAATCGGGGGATGTGTCTGTGGGTAGTGTGAAGTGGGGCTGGCGTGGCTGACCGCGCGTCGTCCTCAGTGTGCTGTGCTGGCGGAGTCAGATGGCGGGAGCCGCTGCAGCCGCACAGCAGGGTGCGTGCCCACCTGAGCCCAGCAGCAGCAGCAGAGCCAGAGCCCAAGGTGTGGGAGGCAGAGAGGTTTATTTTGGATAAGGTTTAAGGGAGATAGCCATGGATTAAAAGCTTAGCATAGTTACAAATGGTGGTGCTTTGTCCTTACACTGAGAAAACAGGGAGACATCCAGATGAGGAGAGGTGGTTCTCTAGCTAGATTAGATACTCACAGGGCGCAGGAAGGGTAAGAAGCAAGCAGCCTGCCCTGGTCACTGCACTGACTGTGCTGTAAACGTGAGTGGAAACCTTTGACCTGTGTATTGAAACTGTGTGGTTTCTATGAACTTTGCTGTTAGTTTTTGTCTGGGCATTTTGAGGAAGATGGATGATTTTTGTTCATTTTCTTTTAATGCCAGGTATGTATATTTTAGGGCACATAATGGGTTTTCCATCTATGGAATTTTATTTCTTTTTCCAAATGAGATTTTCTGAATAAAACCAAGTATTTTAGTTCATTCGTTTATTTTAAAATGTAGACTTACAAAATTTGAATCAGTTTGTCATTTTTTGTGGTGAAAATGCAAAACAGTAATAGAACACTCCCATAGTTTTGTGGTTGTTTAAGATTTGCTTTAGTGCATGTTTGCAATGCACAGTGATTACATTTATTGTGGCGAGTCGGTGGTGGACAGAACACATCTTGGTTCATCTTTCCTTCCCATCCACCACTGTTTCTTTTTCCTTTTTTTTTTTTTTTTTTTTTGCCAGTGTCGGGATTTATTAATTTATTTCATGTCTTTATCAAATTAATTATCACAAATACAGATTAATTGCCAGACCTAACAGGCCAAAAAATCATAAAAACCAGTTTACTAAATCAAGGTACACTTTAGATATATTGGCCATGCTACATTACAATATCTGCATTCTTCTTTATTGTCTGTGTTTTATTTTATTGTTCTTTGAGACAGGGTCTGGCCATGTAGTCTGGCTGGCCTCAGACTCACTGTGTAGCCCAGGCTGGCTTCGTACGTCACTGATCCTTCTGCCCCAGCCTCCTGAGCACTGCAATCACAGGCGTACACCACCGTGCATGGCTTCTTTTGTACCGTATTTATATATTGAATTTCTCATATAAGAGAAACCATGTAACATTCAGTCTTTTTTTAAAATTTTATTTAAAGAGAAAAAAAAAGCAAAATAAAAAGGGTAGAAATAATATATAATTTTAAAAAATAAACAATAAGAAATCTGTAGTTGATAAATTAATCTTACCCTCTTTGAAATAGTTGTTCAAGTTACAAAAGTAAGGCATACAAAGTGGACATTCACACAGTGAAATTGCACACAGTTCTGGTCAATGATCCAACAAAAACTCAGTAATATGGTTATCAATCCCACACACTTAAACATACATGCAGTTATATCCTTTAGAGCCCTTTCTTTTCCTCTCTTTTTTACAACAGCAATTAAACATTTTGGGTTTTATTACTCCTACAGTTCTTATTTATTTTTAAATTAAGATACAATGTGATATTTATAAATAATGATTGTAATTTATTTCACTTATGAGGATAGTCTCAAGTTGTCTCCATTTACCTGTGAAGGCCTCAAGATCCTCCCTTTTTATAGCTGAGTACTATTCCTTTGTATAAAAATACCACATCTTTTTCATCCACCCTGCAGTTGATGGGCATCTTGGTTGTTTCCAAGATTTAGCTATCACAAATTGTGCTGCTATGAACATGGGTACACATATATCACTGTGACATGACCTTTTCAGTTTTTCTGGGAAAATACCCAGGAGGGGAATAGCTGGGGTGAATGGAACTTCCAATCCTAGTCTTCTGAGAATTCTCCATACTGATTTCCCTAGTGGCTGCACCAGTGTGCCCTCCCACTAGCAGTGGAGCAGTGTCCTCCCCCTCCCCGCCCGCAGCCTCACCAGCATTTGTTATCAGTGGATTTCTTGATGGCAGCCATTCTTTCTGGAGTGAGATGAAATCTCAATACTGTTTTTAATTTCCTTTTCTCGAATGACCAGTGATGGTGAACATTTCTTCATGTATTTAGTTGCCATTTGTACATCTTCATCTGAGAACTGTGTGTTCATCTCAGATGCCCAAACATTCAGTCTTGTGTGTCTGATTTACTTCACTTGACATACGGGCTCAGGGTGCACCTGTGTTTCTACGCGTGTCTCAATTTGTCTTCCTTTATGTCAGAATAGTACTCTATTCTGTATAAATACCACATTTTCTTTATCCATTTATTATTGACCAACGTACAGACTTCTGCCGGGACTTCCTGGCTTCTCTGCCCATTGTTCTGGTTCACGGACTCACAGTCTGGTCTGCTTTGTTTGGTTTTGCCTGGGCCGTGCTGCTCTTATCACTGTAGTTTTGCAGTGTGGCTTGAAGAATGGGACTGAGATGCTCTCGGCCTTTCCCTTGTTGCCCGGAATTGCTTTTGCTAGTCCAGGTCTCTTCTGGCTCCATATGAATTTGGGGTTGCTTTCCTTCATTTGGTGCAGAATACTACTGGTATTTTGATTGGGGTTGGAATATTTTTGGAAGTATGGACATTTTAACTGTTCATTCTGCCTCTCCAGGAACAGGCTGTATCTTTCCATTTTCTGATTCCTGTTTGATCTCCTTTTTTAGAGTACTCTGGTTTTCCTTGTAGAGGTCTTTTACTTCCTTGGTTACGTTAATTCTTAGCATTTCATTTGTTTTGATGCTATTGAAGAAGGTATTATTTCCCTAATTGAATTTATTTTTGATGTGCAGAGCACTATTGATTTTGGCATGTTGACTTTGTATCCTGAATTTGGTTATTCATTCTAGGAGTCTTTCGGTGGGGTTTTTGAGGTCTCTGTGTAGAGGATCATATCATCTGCAAAGAATGATAATTTAACTTCTTTCCTATCTGTATCCCTTTTATTTTTTTCTCTTGCCTGATTAGCTCTAGTTAATGGTTCTGAGACTGCATTGAATAGGAGTGGAGATAGTGGACATCCTTGCCTTGTTCCTG